CCTGGTGGCTTGAAAATCACGCCAGGTGCCTATGCATGCCTAAGATCTCAGGAGAAGAATAGAAGAGAAGGAAATACAGCATGGGATGGGGGGTGATTTCTCACTTTTCCTCTCACTGTCTCTTTCTCTCCCTAGTGAGCGCACATTTCCTAAGGCAAAAAACCTCTTAAAAAAAAAAGTACTTGGGTCAGCTCTGTTGCCTGATGGTTACAGTAGCTGGATCCCACATGTCAGACTGTGTAGTTGAATCCTGGCCCTGGCAGCCTGAGAAACAGCCCAGCTGCAGGTGTGTGCCTACCCAAAATCCTAAAAGGAGGGAGAAATGGAGAAGGTATTGCAGCCTGACCATCCTCCCGGGGGGGGGGGTGCTTTCTCACTTTACCTCTCTTCCTCTCCTCTCTCCCTGGTAAGTGTATGCACCCTCTGGGCAAGTTAAAACTCAAAGAATGTGTATAGCCTTTGGACTTAAAGGTCTTCTATTGGAGTCCATCTGAAATTAGAAATAGGCGAGTATTTCATTGAATGTGCATTTTTGTATTTTTAATCATTCTACAGGTCCTAGAAGCCCATGGATTGAAACCAATTGTTTTGAAACCAAAAGAGGTGAGGTGATTTGAGGAAAATTTATTCCTATTAATGAGTCTTTATTTATGCACTATTTTACGTCTTAATATTAGCCTCGTTGGTTCCTTAAAACAAATATAATTACAAGTGTGTCGAAAGCTGCTCATTGAAGAAACGGTGCCTCCATAAGCAGCTGAAAGCTTCATTATGCCGCAGATGCTTAGGAACTCTCTTTGCAACTTCACTCTCAGTGAAGGGCCCTTAGGGTGCTCTAATCCAAGAGTCTTAGACCAGAATTGTTTTAGGATATTTTCTCTGCAATAGTGGGAAGTTCAAGAAGAAATGCAGAGCCAGCCATGTTGGTGCAACAGTTATGCAACACTCAGCAGTGCTGAACCCATATGAGAAGGTCTTCGGTTCACATCCTGAGCTCCCACAGATGATCAGGGCGCACGTGCCTGTGATCTGGGCTGGCTGTGCCTGGGGGTGGGATCATAATGTGAGGGCCCTGTGGGTGGTGCCTGTCTATTTCTCTCTCTCATGAAAGAAAGGAACTTTTCAAAGAAGAAATGCAGCATAGTAAGGTGGTAAGATTCCATGTGGAGTCTACCCTTTAGAGCTACCTTAAGAACAGAGATTCTTGAGAGTGTCCTTTCGCCAGATTTGACTACCGATTTTGTCTAACATGACATCCATTCCTCAAGTGCTTGAATAAACCTCACTGCCTGCGCTTTAGGAAACACCAAGAGA